ATTGTTTCTCTTTCTAATCTTTTTTTTTTTTTTTTTATACTGGGGACCAAATTCAGGACCTTGCACTTGTGAGGCAGGTGTGGTGCCACTGAAATAAATCTCCAGCCCATTTTTTCTACTCTTGATGGTGCTTTTTATTTTTCTTGCCTTACTGCATTGGCAAGAAGAATAAAAATGATTCTTATATATATTCAGTCATTCAGTGTTAGGAAGTACAGTGTTAATTATATGTTGTGCATAGATTCTCTTTACTAAATAGAAAAGGGCTCTTTCTGTTACTCATTTGCTAGAAGTTATTAGGGAAAGAATGTTATATTTTGTCAAATGTCTTTTTTGTGTCTATTAGAATAATCATATTTCTTGTTTAAAACATTAGTGTGATAAATTATATACATTGATTTTAAATGTTAAAATTAGCTTCCACAATTGAGATAAACCCCAATTTATGATGTCATTATTCTTCTCATTGTTGGATTCATTCTGCTAAATTTTAGTTATGTATTTTTTACTTTCATGGTTTTGATTTTAGTATCAGGCTAATGCTGGGTCTTATAAAATGACTTAAAGTGGTCCCTTCATTTCTGTTTATTTGCTGGAACTTTGTGAAGAGTTCATCTGAACCACACCATTCCTTACCTACATTATTGTAGTAACCTCCTGTCCGAGATCCTTGCATCTGTCTACCTGTTGCAGGTTAGGAATGAAATAGACTGATGATACTGTCCTTAATTGAGTTCTGAGTAAAAAAAAAAACCTAGGTGGTACCAAGAATCGAACTCAGGACCTTGTGCTTGTGAGGTAGGCAGCAGAACCATTGAGCTAAATCCCTGGCCCAGTAGAATATTTTTAAATCATACAAGTTGTTATGTTTGGGTGTTTGGCTATGGATCCAGTGAAAAGATTTTACATATGCAAGTTGATATTAACAATGGGAAGGCCGTATGAATGAGCATCTTGTGAGGCCTCTACCTGTGAAGTAGCTAGTTCTTACCTCCTCACCTATAAAGTTGGGTGAAGTTAAAGTAGTTAAATTTTCAAAAAGTTAGCATTTGCCTAATTAATCTTCCAGCAAGTTCAGTGTTTCTTGAAGACATTGGCATAGGAAATGACTTGATGAACAAATCCTCAGTACCATGGGAACTAGCAGAAAGAATCAACAACTGAGATCTCATCTTATTTAATAGCTTCTGCACTACAAAAGAAACCATCAACAGAGCTAAGAGACAATCTGCCATGTGGGAAAAAATTTTTACCAGCTGCTCCACAGACAAAGGACTATTATGTAGAATATACAAAGAACTCAAAACATTCAGCCCCCCAAATATAAAGACTCAATTCAAAAATGGGAATCTGAAATGAACAGACTTTCGCAGACAAAGAAGTAAAAGCAGCAAGTAAATATATGAAAAAATGTTCCACAACACTGGTCATTCAAGAGATGCAGATGAAAACAACACTGAGATTCTACCTCACCCCACAAAGAATGGCTGCTATCAAGAAATCAAACAATAACAAATGTTGGCAGGGTTGTTGGGGAGAAAGGAACCTTTCTGCATTGTTGGTGGGAGTGCAGACTAGTGCAACCACTATGGAAATCAATATGGAGATACCTCAAAGAGCTGGGACTAGAGGTTCCATTTGATCCAGCCATCCCTCTGCTGGGTATCTTTCCAAAAGAATTAAAAGAAACATATCACAGTGATATATGTGCACCAATGTTTATAGAGGCACAGTTTGTAATAGCTAAAGCATGAAAACAGAGCATTTGCCCATCATTTGGAAACTGGATAAAGAATATGTGTTTTTTCTATAAAATGGAATACTACTCAGCCATGAAGAATGAGAAATTAGAGTCATTCATAGGAAAATGGATACATATTGAGGATATATTCTTAACTGAAATAAATAAATCGCATGTGTAAATACTGAATAGTCTCTCTGGTGTGAAAAACTATAATAGTACACAAGATCCTAATGGGGTAATTAATAGTGTGAAATAGGAAGGAAGGGGCTAAAGGTGTAGGGAAAGTGGGAAGGGTAGGGGAAAGGGAATGAGGGAAGAGAAAATGAAAAAATGGAAATAAAGTGTTTGTAAATGGGAAGGGGAGGAGGGGGTGAAGGGAGGGCAGGGACAAGGAGAAAAAATGAGAACCAAGACCTGTCATGTAAAGGTACAAGATCCCAATGATGAATGTAACTGTACTGTATACCTAGATTGTAGCAATAAACTCAATAAAAAAAAGAAGAAGAAAAAACTATGAAGATATGAAATCCACTGGGTTCATGTTACACACAATAATATGTTCATGTTATACATGTTTAACAAATAGAAGATGAAAGGATAGATACAGACTGGTAAATTTGGATAGGTTCAGATCACAACTATTCAACATCAGTGTTAGTGAAAAAGCAACTATGGATAGGATCTGAGTAAATGAATATGACTGTTTTCCAATATAATGATATATAAACTAAGTGAAGAGTTTAAAGGCTGCTTTCCTCAGGGTATAAAGAATTAGAAAGTCAAAGGCAATTAGGAACTTTTAATTATTATTTCTACCATTAAAATATACTTATTCAATAGAAAGTGCCTATAGAGTTATCTTTTTGTTTCCATTTTTTAATTTCTTAAAATTTGGCAATTTTGCTCATGGTATATTAAAAAATAATCTTTATAAAAAAGTTACCATTTGGAAAAATGTTGCTCTTCTGCTGTACATTTCAAATGAATTATGTAATTTGCATGGCTTATTTCATTTATATGGATCAATTTTCATGAAATATTTGGCTTGGATTTTTGGCTTTATAGATTATTTAATTGATATAAATTGATTTACTTGGATTAGTTAAATCCAATAAAAAGGCCCTACCTTCCCCCATTCACTTTTCCCTGTTTCTTTTTCTTGAATGTCATTTCCTGAAATTGCCTTTCCCCCTTTCCCACTAGAATGCACAAGCCTCGGTTTACTGTCCTCTCCTCTGTCCCTGAATCCAGTGCCTTGAACCATTTTTCTAAATCGAAGCTTTCAGAATGAGGGAACTCTTGATCAGCAAAGGGCTATTAGTGAACACCAGTATGCTGAGTCTCACTGGTGATTTACATAAAACTATTCTAATACTGGATACAGGATAAATAATTTGTTAAGAGAAAAAAGCAGTTTAGAAATCTATTAGCATGGTAATCTTCTGAATGGCAACCCCGATTTTTGCCACTTTCTGCTTCAGGGGAACGTAAAGGGACTCATTTGAATCTAAAAAGTACAATCCTGTGCTGAATGATGATATCTTGTCCAACAAAAGGCTAAATTTACTACAGTGGTCCCATCATCCTCTCGTGATGTCATGGCCGTCTCAGTTTTTATATGTGTACTCTCTGATGTTCACACAATGACAAAATCACCCAAGCACACATTTCTCAGATTTTATCTGTGGTGTTAAGCAACACATAATCGTACTAGCCTAAGGAGAGGCACTTTGCATCAAAATTTGCTATGATGCATTTGGAACTCAAATAATGCATAAGCTATAGGGAAAAGGTATATTTGCTACACCCTACTGAAGTGTGAAGATTCAGACAAGCATAGTTATGTAATATCCTTTAATTAATTAGCTAATTAACTGCTGTGCCACGACCCCTATCACAGTGTAATCATCCTAGAGGTTATCACTTAAAGGCAGTCTGTATATGTAGACTATGGAATTCTACAGTTCTTTTGAATTTGTGAGCTTCATCTCCAGAACCACAGTGTGTCTGAAGCCTTGTTTTCTTCCTTGCCCTCCCTTCTCATCCTTGCTGTGTGGGAGAATTCAAGAAAGCTTGGTTTGATGCAAAATGCTTCTCCGCATTTAAAGGCTATTTAAAAGGCCAAACGTATTTAAATAAAATATCTGTTTTTTTTTCTTTTAGGAAAAACGTAAAGCTGAAGAAGCCCTCAGTGACCTCAGACGTCAGTATGAAGCAGAAGTAGGAGACCTACAGGGGACCATTAAAAAACTAAGAATGGTAGGTATGTGGCAGTTAGACTTCTAGGAACACTCTCAGGTTCTCAGTGTGTCTAAGCAATTAAACCGAAACCACTTGGAATCATGCTGAAATGGCAGACAGAATCAGATTTCAAAGTCAAGTCTACTCCTTGGGAAGACAGTTTGAGGCACCTGAGTTCCTCTCCGACTTCCTGGACCACCTGTCTTTCTCATAGAGCTAATAAATATTTCTGATCTCTTCACTCTTACTCTTCAAACCCTACTTTGCTTTCCTCAGTCTTCACCAGCCACCTTGCTCAGGTCCCCAGTGTCCAGTGGGCTGTCTGCTCTTTGCCATACAGACACTGGCACAGTGTCCCTTTGTCTCTCTGATCCCTACCCCTAGCTTACGGAAAGGTCTGTAGCAGTGAATATTTTATTAAATGAAATAAATTTTCTTTTCTAAGTAGGAAGGTCCAGATCCAAAGGACCCCTAATTAGCAAAAGCTGAGAAAGAACTTGTTGAAATATAACCAGAGGCGTGATTGGGTTTTGGCTTTGTCTCTGTTCAGTTCTACTCAGCAGGGCCCATGGCTCTCAGCAGTGCACTGGCAGGTATTAACAAGTGGCTCTGGAGGAGGGTGGAAGAGGAAGAGAGGGAACTGTAAATGCATTTACCAGTTTCAGTGGTATGGATACTCACACCGTTACTGATTTCTAGCAGCAAGTTGACATCACAAGGTGCGGAACTGGAAAGAGATTATTGAAGTAGACTCTCACCTGCTGGGAAATCTGGTTCCAGCATAGGATTAGACTTGCTGCTTGCATGTGATTATTTCCATAAGGGATGGAGATAGCTTAAATAAAACAGATCATTTGAACAGTCCCTGAAAGGAGCGGTGAGATGAAGTGAGAATTAACTATTTGAAGGTAATGACAACTTAAACCTCCGGATGATTAACAATTCTTCCCAGTAATCTTGAGAAATTACCATTCATGTGTAGAAAATCATGATATCATCATGCTGTGCAGAATTGAATCAGCAGATCTCCTTTTAATGCCAGAGCTGGACTCTCCTAGTCATTGGCTTCCCTTATTTCTGTGGCCTCCCAGGTCGTTAGAGTAAGAGAATGTGCGCGAGAAAGTTGGCCTGAGACACTGGCCGCTACTGAAGACCTGGTCAGTGAGGACACCATCAGGAGGGATGAGGCTGAGTCTTTGTTAAGGCAGCGCTACTTCCTTTCCGTCACACCCGAAGCAGTTCTTTTCATTTTTCAGATCCTTAGCTTCTTACCTATAAAATGGGATTAACAGTGAATTGTCCTGCTTAACCATACTAACTAATGCTTTGTTGACTTTACAGTTTATTATGTTCAACATACACACACACACACACACACACACACATATATGTATATATATCTATATCCTACTTTTTCATATATAGATTGAGCTCCAGACAGGGCAAATAACTTGTTTAAAGTCACACAGCTAACAACTGAAGGAGTCATTTTACTACAGTGGTTGTGCTTTCTCACTTATGTCAGGCTTCTTGTCCACATGACGTGGTCTTGTGTGAAACAATGAGATGATTTATGTGAGATTACATTAAAAACCATAATAAGATCATAGAAAAGCCTATAATTCTGATTACCATTTATTTATATCATTTCTTAATAGCTCATTTTTCCTCAAATTTTTCTTATGTGAAGTCAAAATACGTCTTAAAATCAGTGGCTTTTCTTAGAGTCAGTTATGTGACAGCTGTGACACAGTTATATAAAAACCTTCCATTGACACTATACCGCAGATAAAGTGCACGGTTTAAATACTCAGACTTGATAAAACATGGGGAGCATTTTTGATCAGTGTGTGGATATTCCACGAATGGACACTCACAGATCCCCAGCTCCCAGGGGTTGTAAGCTCCTTGCAGGAAGAACACTTCTGTTTTCCGTATTAGATGCTCCTGGACCATTGATTTATTTATTTATATACTGGGGATCGAACTTGGGTCCTTATGCTTGCGAGGCAGGTGGCAGAACCACTGCACTAAATCCCCGCCCCTCCTTAGCCATTTTAGTCTGGTAATACTAATGAGGGATCAGTAGGCAGAGCTCAGGTGTGCACTCAAGTAATTTATGTACGTGAGTCTCTGGCTTCACATCATGATTAGATTTTGTTGATTTCATTTATTTAATAAAGCATGTCTTTAGCTTACCATGAAGAAAACATAAGTGAATCTGATACCAGCTCTGTTCTTAAAAAAAAATCTACATTCTGGTAGGGGAGGTAACACGCTCATAAGCAATTAAAATTCAGAACAGAAAGTGTTAAAGGCAGAGACTCCTAAGAGAATATATATGTCCAGATGCACATACACATAATTAGAGTAGGGCTTAGGTTACTTTATACTTCAGTAGTTCCAAAAAGGGCTTTTATGTTGTTTCCAGGAAAGTTCCTTTGACAATAAAATCCTTTTCAAATGTTTAAATTGTTTGAAATAAATTTTCAAACCCTTATGGATTTTATTTTTGTTGTTTTTTGTTTTTATTTTTTGGTAGCAGGGACTGAACTCAGGTCCTTGAGGTTGGGAGGCAGGCAGTGAATTATGCTGTTTAATGAGTTATAATGTTGAAGATTGGAGCCATCTAGAATTTTCATATTTATACTCAAGGAAGTCCTTATATTTAACCAAAGCAATTCAAAATGAGTTGTTTCTTTTTCTGTTTTTTTTTTTTTCCCCCCAGTACCAGGGATTGAACTCAGAACCTTGCAAGGCAGGCATCGGAGCCACTGAACTAAATCCCCAGCTCAAAATGAGTTGTTTTTTTTTTTTTTCAGTTTTAATTGAGTTTATTGGTACATTTTAGGGTTACAGTACAGTTACATTCATTGTTGGGATCTTGTACCGCTACATGACAAGTCTTGATTCTCACTTTTTCCCCTTACCCCTGCCCTCCCTTCACCCCCTCCTCCCCTCCCAATCTACAAACACTTTATTTTCATCGTTTCATTCTCTCACATTTTTTCTTTTCCCTTATTACCCTTCCCCTACCCATCCCACCTTCCCTACACCTTTAGCTCCTTTCTTCCCATTCAAAATGAGTTTTTTAATGCATAGCTTTTATTTGCTCTTTCAGCTTGAAGAACAATCAAAGCATGTAAATAAAAAAGAAGATATGGCAGCATTAAAAAAACAAATTTATGATTTGTCAATGGTAAGAATCACCTTTCGCTTTCAGAAATACATTTTCTATTAGACAGTGTAATCATAATCACGCTGATATTTCAGCATTCCAGGTAAAAGTTTAAAAAGTTAGAACAAAGTTAGAACAAAGGTATTATGTGTGGCGCTTTTCCCCTTAATGAATTGCATCCTATTATTTTATTTTAGTTTTTAATTTAAATAAAGACATGGTGCTTAAACATTACATGGCATGGTTAGCCTGTTCCTTACCCACTGACTCTCTGTAACCCTGACTTTGTAAGATGAGGACATCACTGCCTGTTCTTCCTCCTCTGGCCTTGTTCTGACCCCTCTATCTTCTGCTGACTACACCTTTACTTTTTCTCTTGAAGTTAATGTGATTAATGTGTTACCATGACCAAGTTTTTTTTTTTTAGTATGGTTTTAGGTTTAACTTCAAAATTTGAAAGCAGTTGCAGTACATTTTCTTTATTACAGCTTTAAATATTTTCACTGCAAAGCCAATAAATGGTTGCATTTTATTTCCTCCCGTCCGTATCCTTACACTATTCACCAGACGAGAGTCCCCACTCCATGGTCAAATGAATCCCCTTTATGTACCTACCACCCGTTCCAAATTGTGCCTCGTCTTAGTGGCTACACATTTGGATCATGACTTTCTTGTCTTTGATTTTTTTTTTTTTAACCTAGTTGAGTTCTTGATTTCTTATTAGAAGAAACCCTATTGTACTTTTGATATCTCTGATACTTTCAGGCTTCTTTTCAACAATGGGTATTCAACCCAGGGCCTTTACTCTAAGCTGTATTCTAGGTTTTTTTGTTTTTAGAAAGGGTTTTCCTGTATTGTTAAATTGCTCAGGCTGGGCTGGAACTTGCAGTCTTCATGCCCTCCTGCAGAGTGCTGAGAGACTCCCTTTTCTAGGGTTCTCAATACATGGGATTTAATTTTTTTCCTTAATAATATTAACTTTGGAGGTTTTATTATTGAATTGCTTGTTTATTAAGTTTTCTTACTACCCATATGTCATACTGAGATTTCTTTTTATTGGGTTCCTCACTGGATTGCAATAGTTTGTTTGGTATGATTTTCTTCCTTCTGGATTTTCCTTATTTTACCATGGTACATCCTCATGGAATTTCTACACAAGGAGTTACATTTTACTCCCCTCTTGATTGTCAGTTTGTGTGTTTCCCCCTCACAATTTACAGAGTTTGTCTGGATCAGTGATGTGACCCTTTTAGAGATCTAGTGCCAAACAACCTAAAACTCACCCATTTATCACAAAGTGCCAATACCACAATTTAAACCCGAGATCTGAGATTTTATTTTAGAAAAAAGAGCTAATACATTAACATCTTTTGTCTTAAAAGGAAAACACAATAACACACGCACCATAGGTTTTACTGCCACTGGTCCAGATAAATGAACTCTTCCGGAGCTCCTCTGGGATTGATTTATTTAGATTGTTCTAGCTGAACTCCCCCCATAACTGGCTATCTTTAGTGATCAGTTCATATTTTAAAGTTCAGGGCGAGCTGGATCACTGTAGGTGGGAGGGGTAGGACGCCTCAAGGCCTGTCCCTGAGAGAGTGTCTTCCTAAAGGCTCTTTCTTATAAACTGCTTGTGAGGCTGTGGGACGCTCATTCGCAGAATGAGTAGACAAAGTATGTGGACAGAAGATTTGTATTTCCTTTTTGGAGCATTCGTTTCTTTATAAAAAGATGACCTGTCTTCTTGCCTTTGGAATCTACTCCATCCATTTACTTTCTCTGCCAGGGTAAGAGAGGGTAAGGCTTGAGTGGCGAGCCTTCATATACATCCGAATCTTTGTTTCTATCCTGCTTCTCTTCCTACTTTCTGCATTAACCTGCCAGGACCTCCAACACAGTTCTTCTAGATGCCTGTATTAATCTGTTTTCTGTTACTGTAATGAAATACCCGAGAGAGGCTGATTTTAGAAAGAAAAGTCATTTATTCAGCTCAGAGTTCTGGAGATTGAAGGGTACTTACTGTACCAGTATCAGCTTCAGTTCTGGTGAGGACCTCATGGAGGATGGCAGTTGTGGGTGTGAGGGAGAGATCGCATCACCAGACGAGCCAGAGCGAACCCTAGTCCTAAAGTCCTGGTGGACAGAAGTAGCTCCCATTTGGTGCCGTCTCTTACGGAGCATGGACCTTTACACTGCCAGAGCAGGACGGGGGGCACCCAGATTATATCCAAGCCACACCAACCATCTTTCCCTACCAACTACTGTCCTTTTAGTGTACGTTTCCATGTCATTCTGTCTCCCAGAAGTGTAAGTCACAGTTTCATTCCTTTAAGTGGTATTAGTTCGTTCCTTTGGTATTTGGTGTTAATGGACTTTCAGAAGGGAAGAAAGCCTAATTTGTGTCCCCAGTTTACTGCCTTGGACTAGAACCCTCCAATAATTGTTTTAAAGAAACAGTGTATAAATTTCTTAGCAACACTGGTTTATTTTTAAGCACATGACTTAAAAATATTAGGGGATAGCTTTTACTGTAAAATGTGGCCAGCACACCCTTTGATAAGTGCAGTTATTTTTACAGAATGCTTATCAGTAGTTTTATAGCTCTCATTAAGTACAGCAGGTGTTCAAATGTTTGACTCAGTTAATATGCTAGTGACATATTAAAGTGCATCATGATAAACTATTGACTATTGTAACTGGTAACAAATATCAAGCCCTAAATTGAAGAGCAGCTCCAAAGATTTAGATTTAAGAAGCTAATCATTTATAATCATTTCAAGTTACCTTGGGTAGGTAATTAGTTCTTTGAACCGAATGACTTGGAGAATTGGGGAAAGTTAGGAGCGATGTATGTGATAAATGCACCACACTGCTTTCTTTCTTCTAGAAGCAAGCAACGGAATCTAATGCCCTGTACTCTTTTCACTAGGAAAATCAGAAAATTAAGAAAGAGCTTTTAGAAGCACAGACTAACATAGCCTTTCTTCAGAGTGAACTTGATTCTCTAAAAAGTGATTATGCTGACCAGAGTCTGAATTCTGAACGGTATGGAACTTTGCGTTGTATTTCTTAGTTTAAGTGGAATGTTTACTTAGGTGATCCATGGGAATGGAGCTGGCCAGTATAATAAAGGGTTCTTCCTTAACTTAGCTAGTACATCCTTTTCTTTCTAAAGATTGTGCCTTCATCATCGGATTTCCTCAGGTTGTTTTGTGTGTATGTTTTTAATTTTTTTTAAACAGACTTACAGGCCTAATTATTAGCTGTTCAGAAGAGTGCAGGGCTTAATAAATGGTTGGATTCACTGGGGACTGGAAGAATACGATGAAATTGTGAATCACACATGCTTGTTAAGGTGCTGTGCAGATAGGAATTTTGACCTAAAACGTAAAAACCAGAAGAGTACATCTCTTAAGTGAACAGCTTAATTTTTTTAATACTTTCATTTTAGAATATGATGTTAATAATATAAAACCTAATACAGACATATTTTATACATAAGAGACATAAGCATGGATTAAATATCCAGGGAGAATAAATTATATACCTTTGAAAAAAATTATTACTCATGTACCTTTGCATTTGTGGAAAATGTTATTTTTTGTTTGTAAACTTGGATCAGAATCAGGGTTTTTTAACTGGAAAATAATAGAACATTAAGTATACTGTATACAGATAACTGCAAGATAACGAGTACTGAATTTGGAGTATACAAAGTAAAGAGGAAAGGTTATAGTCTCTGCTCTTTGAGAACTCAACATTTTGTTGAGGGGAAAACAACAAAAAGAATACAAGGTAAGAGCTAAGTAAAATTCAGAAAGGACACCACCAGCAGGGTAATGGCTGGGGTCCATTGCCACGTGGTCAGGAAGTTTTCTTTGCATTAAAGTCTTTGTTAAAGAGAAACCCAAGGTGGATGTGGGCAGTGGGCTGGGCCTGTGTTGGCCAGGGATGAAGAGGCAGCGGGGAGAGCTGCCTCAGTAGGGGACACTGGCAGTGAAGATGTCTGCAGGGCACTGTCCTTGGCTTCGAACTGGTGTCTTCTCTTGAAGCTCACACAATCCCCTGTCAGACAGGAACCTTCATTAGCTATGTGTCAGAGATGAGAACAGGATCTCAGGCATGTCCCGGGTGGGGCAGTGACCAAAGCAGGGGTGAGAACTCAGGGGCAGGGTAAGTCTGGCTTGGGAAAGATGACCAAACTACTTGAAAAATACTGGGAATGGAAAAGCAAAAGTTTAAAATAAAAAATTAAAAAACTAATTTAAGGCTAACCTTCAGGGGCTCAGAATTTTTCACTAAGAAATTTAAATTTTTGTAGACAGTTGGGAAACTTTGGGACAGTTTTGTTTATTTCTTTGTTTGTTTTAATGCGCAGAACTTGATGGCCTAAGAGCTGTCAAGCTGATGCTGGGCTTATCTGTGCAGCACTGGGGTTGAGAAGAGCCAGAGCTGAGGGACACATGTTTTGAGGGCACAGTTTGAGGAGGAAGCCAGGGCTTCTGTAATAAAGCAACAGGAGTACAAAGTGTGAGTTTCCCATGAGCTCAGAAAGCTGGGTTTGGTGGCTTCCTCTTTGGTTTAAAGTGAATAGGAGAGAGGGCAGTAGGGAAGAGGCAGAGAGAGGAGACAGAACTCAGGAAAGGCTAGGTGGATCTGGAGTTATTTATATAAGGCTTAAAAGGGGCAGAGAAAGTTCCCAGGATGGAAGGGACATTTGCCATGACTGGGGGAGAGAGGGAACTCAGGAGTAGATGGGGTTCTGTCTCAACGAGGAACAGAACCAGGCCAGGGGAGCGCCGTGGGAAGGGCTGGTGTGTCTTGAGCAGCAGCCGAGGAGGAGGCCCCGTCTTGCTAGTGTGGGACGTGGGACAGAGGTTTACATAAGGAAGCAGAGTGTGGGTCTTTGTGGGGACTGTTGCTATAGGGGATAGAGCGAGGGCAGTAGGGAGAGAGACAAGGTGAAAGACACATGCCTTTTGGGAAGGTGAAAAAGGGCATGGGAGGATAGGTGGAGGTGAGACACCTAATTCTCATTTAAACATAATTTTACAGGGATCTGGAAATAATCCGAGAATACACAGAAGATCGAAATAGTCTTGAGAGGCAAATTGAAATACTCCAGTAAGTTTTACATAAAACGCTCATTGCATTTACAGTTTTAATTCTGATTCATTACTAGAACACATGCCGTGGGTATTCACTTACACTCACTTTTCTGATGTGTCTGAGCCTAAATTCAATATTCACATGAAGGGAATAGATGTAGTTCTTAAAAATCCTTGCAAGTCAGGTGCTGTGTTCAGCATGTCCTTTTTATGCCTCTGTGGAGAATAATATCCCTGACTCCCCAGCTTTCTCTGCAGCTGCGCATCTTGGAAGTTTCTGAGGCTTCTCGTGTTGGCTAGACAATCAATGCCGGTGCCCTCGTTCCTTGTCAGTTTCTTATGCTTGCTAGAGGTGCATGTTTACTTGGGTTATTCTCCCAAGCGATTTCACACTTGAACTGTTAGCTTCCCCACTGAGTTACATTGGTTTCATCCGGTGAGGGTCTACCCCTCCGAAAGCTTACCTCCTCCGCCTTTTTCCTTTCTACCCATGGAGTATTTTTTCTTTTTTTTCAGTTCATCAGATGAATCGAGATCAGGTTTGACAAGTATATTTTGCAGCAGCATTCTTTTTAATTCTTACCTATGTAACTGTAGCATTCATTTCTTACAATAGTCATGAATTTATTCATTTGTTCACTTTATGGACTTTTCAGTGAGTACCTTTTTCAGATCAGGCATGCTGGGAGTGGAAGATGAAATGACAAGTAAGAGAAAGCAGCCTGTCTTCTTATGGGGCTGTTCCAGAGGAGCAAGGCAGACACTGACCAGTAGTATAGAAATAAATACAAAATACCAAGTGGGAGATGTTTGGCAAAGGGAAGCTGCGTGTCCTCGAAGGAGAGCTTTGTCCTACTGAGATCAAGGAAGTACTCCAGGAGTGCTAGTTGAGCTCCAATCTGAGAGATCAAGTGGCCTCAAGCCAGGAAAGATCAGCCACTCTGAGAGGCAGGAACTCTGTTCTTCATTTTGTAACCGAGGGAGGCTTTGCTATGAAATGACTTTCATGAAATCATTGTGGAAGTCAGTGCCTGAGTAGGAATTTGAGTCCAGATCTGTTTGGGATGATTAGCCAAGGCTTGACTTATACACAAGACCTCTCAGGCCATGAGTAGGATGCAGAAGTAGCCAGGAAACTGAAGCCTGGTGCCGCACGCTGCAACATTGTCTGGCCGCTGGGATGGGTGCAGTGCCCAGTGGGGTTCGGGAGTTTGCATGAAACTTGTTCAAATAGGAGAACACAGAGAAGAGTGAGTTCTATAGCCTAGTAGCTCATTCCTGAAATACCTGAGACTTTTAAAGAGAGGTAGCTAATCCGTCCTGTTGTACTTGGAGTAATGAATTATTATCTGTTTCTGAGATTTGAAGAGAAGTGGGAGAAAATCGCAAAAGGGGGTAAAATAATTCTACATCGTAAACATTGTCTGAAAAGAAAGTGTTAACACTGCTCCTTACTAAACTTTCCTTATTTATCTGTTTCCCTTTTCATCTTACAGAACAGCTAACCGGAAGCTCCACGACAGTAATGATGGCCTTAGAAGTGCCCTGGAAAACAGTTACAGCAAGCTCAACAGATCCTTGGTATGCCAGTGTCATTTTATACCATGCTTTGATCATCTGTCCTTGTGGTTGCATATTTTGAAAGAGATGAAAATTATGTCATATCTTAGAGCAGAACTTCATGTAGATCTTTATAAATACTAGAACTTTCCATAACATTGACAGGGGTATGCTTTCTAAGTTAAAAATATGTTACCCATCTGCAGAAATCAAGGCATCGTGTGCCTTGATGTTAAGTCAAACATTCTTGGATACGAGTCAGTTGTGTAAGACGTGATCTTTACCCTGGAATACTTTACAGTGTCATAGGCAGGTGTGTACCAGATGGATAGCCACAATGCAGAAAAAGTGGAAAATTGCATGATGGTAAAAACAAAATATTACCATGTGAGAGGAGGAAGAGATGATTCTGGCTGGGGTTGAGTTTAGGCACACTGAGTACTCATTAGGACGGTGAGACTTTCTGAAGGCCTTGGCTCTCACGGCCTCCTACACGAACAAGCTAGGTTCCTTGTGAAGTTTGCAGGCCTCTCTAAGACTACATTTGCCATGTGCCTCTGTTCCCACTTTTGGGTGAGCTTCAATCTAGGATTTCAGTAATGTTTTTGATATAGAATAGTTATTCACTGAGTCCAGTTATAGCTTCGAAAGAGATGCCCAAGGAATTTGATGTTATAGGATCCTGGTGAATTTGGAGAACCAGGGTCCTTCTTTATGGAATATGGGTGAAGTTTGGACTTAAGATCTGATGCTAAGAAGAGAGAACTGTGTTCAATTTTCTTTGCTAAGGGTTTTCTATTGATTTTCATACTCAATAAGATGCCAAACTTTTGGTTATATAAAAAGTTTGTATATATATATATATATATAATGGATGTATATAAAACTTTACATTGAATATTAATTACTTGTATATTACAGCACATAAATAATGCATCACCAGGGAACACAATTTCTAGAAGCAGTCCAAAATTTAGTGGTCATTCTCTTCAACCTCTGGGCTATGACAGGTATGTTAACACCTGATCATTTTTTTATTTGAATCACAGATCAAAGTTAAAAGGGAAGTAAGTTTCCTTAAGGTGAGTGAAAATAATGGAACATATTTTGGGTACTAAGTTGTATTTTACTTTAAAAGTTATAAACTTTGAAAACTGTACATGAAGATGATTCAGAGAGGGCAAATATACTTCCTTCTGACGTTGTATCTGGGTTTCACGTGTGCCTGCCATTACCTCATCTCTAATACTTCTCTGATTCTTGGGCTGCATAAGAGAATTATGGTACGGGCTGCATATTGGAATTATGGTACGGGATGTTTCAGTGTATGTGGTACATGACAATCGAACTGTTGTCATGATGCTCCAGTGTGTAATAAGTCAGCACAATATTATATGAACCATGTCGCAGGAAGAGGAAACTTCCCAAACAAATAGAAATCTGGCACATTTATGAGCTCCTATTATTGTATTGAAGAAATCACAGAGACATTGTAAATGTTAGAAGATATCCCTGTTTTTTTGTTTGTTTGTGTTGTTTTACCAGATGGAAATGTGGGCCTGTTATTTCTTGAAAACGAGTAAGAAGCAGTTAAAGATTGATTGCATGTGTGCATGTGTGTGTACCTATACGTCTAGTATTTCTTAAGTTAATTTTGTAGCAGGCAAAGTCTGAAAGTGGAAGTGAAGATATGAGTAAAGGTTTCCAGCTCTCCATATTTCTGCAGCTTTCTGATTCATGTTCATTGCTTCTTTATTCAGTACTTTTTATAGAAAGGATAGTGCGCTCTATATTCTGGTGATTGCAGATGATCAAGTTGCCATTCAGAAAAGTCTTTTACCAAAGTTTATTGGTGATCACTTATAAGAAAAATACCATCTGCGTGTAAGCTTTTTTCATTGTTTACTCATTTGTTAAAAGTTTTTAATGCCTTATTGAGTTTTTAAGGCAGCTGACAATGCTGTTACTGAGAAATACATACTTTTAAAAATGTTTAAGTGTGATGATGCCTTTTTTCTGACTGAATATTTAAGATCATCATTTCTAGGGAAATGGTGGGGAACGATGCAGGATTACTGTGGAAATTTCATCATGATTTGTTTTTGAAAGTGTGGACACTAGGAACAAGTCTCACGAGTACTGGACTGAGAGCTCCCGCACAGTATGCTGTAGTGGACAGTGCCATCACCTCACCAGGGCGTCGGACTGAAAGGAATGTAGCTTCTTGTGCTCATTATTTTGATAGGAATTAGAAGCCAGTGGGTCCTGCACTGATACTCCTTGATTAATTTGATATAGAAAATTAACATCTGTGTTTTCTTTTTTAGGCTAATATAAAAACCTTAGTAAAAGCATGCTGTACACTACATTTTACTGTTTGGGTAGTTTAATTTTGTAAAATTTTTTTGTTTTCTGTGTCTTTTGTAAGAACTCTAACCAAGAATATAACTTCTTTTGTAGTTTTATATAAGTATAATGAAAATCTCAGAACAGATAAGAATATTTTACTTTAAAAAGGATATGTATTGATGTTGCATTTGAAAAAATTCTGATCAGAGCCTGTTTTTAATTTACACGGAGTGTAGATACTCGAGGTGATTCCTGAAGTGAGTGTTTCACTTCTGCTTTGCAACTTAGTAAAATACAAACAGATTTAGAAAAAGAGTTACACACAACTGTGATGACATGAAACTGAAGTACAGTAATTTGTGTACTGCATTATGATGTGAATGGTCTTCTCATGTTCCTTGCAGATTGACTTGGATTTAGTTTCAGAAGGAGGCTTTCAGGCCATGCGTGTTGGCACATGCCCATAATTTTGGCACTCGGGAGGCTGAGGCAGGATGATCACTGGGAGTTAGAGCCCAGCCTGGGATCCGTAGTGAGTTCAATGCCAACCTGGACTACAAAGCAAGACCCTCTCTCAAAAGAAAGGATAATTTCATAAGTGTTGGAACAAGACAAAAAATATGTATGCACACATACATACACATATACGAAGTCTGCAATATATGTTGTGTGTGTGTGTGTGTTGGATATACACACACACATACTTTTTGTACTGGGGATTGAACTCAGGACCTTTTGTTTGCAAGGCAGCTGTAGTGCCACTGAGCTGAAGCCCTGGCTGTATATGGAGAAAGAGATAGGAAGGAAGAGAAAGACTGAGAACATAGTGGGTAAACCAGCTCGTTAGTTAATTTTGTTTTTTCCTTCTTAGATTCAGTTTAAGATGACCATGTGTCTTTTTAAGCATGTCCCCTCTCCTTTTTATGGTTTAAAGATCTGTGTGTCCTGCCCGTTTTCCTTACCAGTAATCATGTACCAGGTCTGTAGTGGATGCTGAGTAAGTCCTAGCTATTGTCCTTTCAGTAGAAGCTTAGATTCATGGGAAAATGGAAAAGCAAAAGGAAACTGAAACGTGCAATTTCCTTGGGTTTTTTCATTTGATGTCAGTTACTTCTTTACTGATAAACTTTCGGTTCCACAAACAGAAAGATCCATAGGTATGGGGAGTTCTAGCTGTGGTCTGCATCACCTCCCTACAGAGTATAACAGTATCTCCAACCTTTGTGTTGACACTGAGGGGCGGAAAACTCAGCTCAGACCATTTGGGTAGCGCACATTGCTCAACAACTGTTGCTGTCACTATGTTGATGATGACTGATACCAGAAAAGTTGACCAGTTGTCCCTTACTTTGTCTTGTGCAAACTAAGACAATATATTCATGTCAGCTTTTCGAGCATTTGAAGAGAAAAATCATGACTCAAATACATGAATCTTTCCTCATGTCTGGAGGGTTTGAGACGCGTCTCAGTACTGGTGTGCTTCTCATTTGGTTCTCAACATTTCCGCTCAGACAGAAATGTTCTTAAGAAACTGTTCGGAAAACAGTCTAACCACATTGAAATGTAAGGGCTCCCCAGTTCTGTGTACATTTTTATTAACACAGCTTGACATTGAGTGCTTAATTCTTTTGTGTTAGGAAATAACGAATGTGATATTTTAAAAGCTACATTTATTGTTTTTATCTGAGGGTCTTCATCTCATCAATTGCTGCATAGAATGAACTGATGTTGTTTGAACATTTCCTTTCTCTTGATGCTTAATCATGGGATATACACTGTAGTTCTTGCCAAGTGAACATGTTGGTCTTTTGGACTCCATGCCTGTCCGTCACCTGCATGTCTTGAGAGCAGTCTTCCTTCCCAGGTCATCCCGATCTTCCTATGTGGATGAGGACTGTGAATCCCTGGCCCTCTGTGATCCCATGCAGAGGATGAATTATGAAGTCGACAGCCTGCCTGAGAGCTGCTTCGACAGCGGCTTGTCTACCCTGAGGGATTCCAATGAGTATGACTCAGAAGTGGAATTCAAGCACCAGAGAGTGTTTCAGAGCTCACATGGCGTGCAGGAGAGTTCTGGGGGCGACGCTTCAGACACAGATGTAAGCCTCAAAGCCACTGATCTCAGAGGCCTGATACTGCTTGAAATCTTTCACCATGTTTGACTTATGACAGTCATGAGACTCTGTTGTAGAGATCAACTACTGCTTCAGCAGTAGAGTTGCCATACAGGGCCGCTCTGCTCCGTAACAGCATTTGCTGTAGATTTAGCTGCGTAGTTTTCTTTTCTTGGATCCATGATGTCTATGTGTAATTACACTTTGTTTTTAACTGCTGACTTTATAAAACAGGTTCCTGATATAAGAGATGAAGAAACATACGGTACTGAAAGTGTGGCTTCCGCTGTGGACTGGAAGCCCCCCGCGTGTGTCAGTGAAGGCAGCATTGTCACCTCCTCCAGGAGGCCCATCTCCGCTCTCTCATGTCAGGTAGGCAGCGCTGGAAATGCGTCTGCTCGTGAGCTCTGCTCACTTTCTGGGCCGGAGGAAATCGGCACTGGTATAAGTACCTATCGTGGCTTTCCCCCAGGCAGATATGGAGAGCGACACTTCCAAAGCTCCCAGATCACAGAAGGCCTACAAGATTGTCCTTGCTGGGGATGCAGCTGTGGGGAAGTCCAGCTTCCTCATGAGACTTTGCAAAAATGAATTTCGAGGAGATACAAGTGCCACGCTGGGTATGGCTCTTCTTTCAGTTGGTAATGGGAAAATGGCCCTCTAGCTTGAAGTTTTTCTTTAGGGATTATATATACAGAAACATATAATCTCTCTCTCTCTCTCTCTCTCTCTCTCTCTCTCTCTCTCTCTCTTTCTCTCTCTCTGTATATATTCATGTATTCCTTTGTCCTTTTTCTCTTTGGCTAAAGCCTAGCTGTATCACAGGAAGACTGACAAAGGACAGAGGTATCTACTTAGTCAGTCAAATCAGACAGACTACCTTGAGATCCTGCCATGTTAGGATCACACATTCGGCCTATATTTCCTAATTGGAGCCAGATATTGTGGTAGATGTACGAATACAAGTAAATAAAGCCCACTAAATAAATCCCAGCCTGTAAGGAGCTTACAGCCCAATGGAAAGGAGCGGGCCCCTGGTTTGGAAAGTGGTAAAGGTTTACAGATGTTGGCTATGGAACCCTTCCCAGTAAGGTATCTATTGACGTTGGTAACACGACAGTACTGATACCAGTTTCTCGTTATGGTGAAAAGTGGAGCCATGTTCTCCTCCTCCTGTCTTTCTCATCTTACAATGAAGCGATGGAATAAATATCGTCATTTCCCAAATTTACATAATAATCAGTAAGAGGAATTGAGCATATGTGAATTATCATGCGTTTTTCTTCAATCAAAGATTTATTATTTTGATAACCAGAAATGTTACAGCAGATGGAGGCTCCCCTTCACAATCATTGACTTTGTAAATTTATGGTTCTCTGAAACACCCTTCAAGGTAACAAAGCTGAAAGTGCGTTAAGTTCACTTTAACTTAATTCATAAAAGACTGAAGCGTTTGATTTAGTTGCTGTACACTGTGATGTTTTTTAAACACACATATACACGTTTTACACACAAACATGTACATACACACATGTATATGCACAAACTGTCTATGCCTTCATATACACACACACATACACACACATTCTCTTGTTCATACTCACATACATACGCACCCACACAAATATGACTGATTTCCTCTAATCATCTGGGAAAATAGGACATATGTTTCCCTTCCATAGATGAAGTCCTTCTTCATGGTCATCTGATTTATACTTAGCAAGTGAAAGTCACTCTCCTTGGAAGCCATGTTCAGTCCCTTTTACCACACTGAGCTTTAGCTTATTGGATTTTCTCTCACCCTAGGTGGCTTGAAAGTATCAAGATGGTAGAATTATTTATGTCATATTCTCCACTCTCATATTCCTTTTCAGGAGTTGATTTCCAAATGAAAACTCTCATTGTGGATGGAGAGCAAATAGTTCTGCAACTCTGGGATACAGCAGGGCAGGAGAGGCAAGTGTTTTCTTTGGATTTTGCTTAGGTTTACAAAGATAAGCCTTTTAGGATTCTTTTTTTTTTTCAGCTTTAATTGAGTTTATTGGTACATTTTAGGGATTCAGTACAGTTACATTCATCGTTGGGATCTTGTACCTCTACATGACAGGTCTTGGAGTTTAATTGATTATTGGTACATTTTAGGGATTCAGTACAGTTACATTCATCGTTGGGATCTTGTACCTCTACATGACAGGTCTTGGTTCTCATTTTTTCCCCTATTTTTTCCCTCTATCCTTTTAGGATTCTTGATGTTCTTTCTACTTACAGATTATTAATATGCCACGTAATTATACATAAGTAATAGTATAATTATTTATATTTGTAATTATAAGGTATATCATAATCTCATGAGTGCTGATCCTTTTCCATACCTGCCTGTCTTTTAAGTAGATATCAGTTGTGTGAGAAGAGGGTCTTTAGCTTCTTTGGAGCTGATGTTCAGGTGGAACAAAGATGCTGCACTTTCCTAGCAAGCGAATTTTGGCGAGGAAACATCCTGAAAGAAATGACAGTTTGAAGGGCCACCCAGCTGTGCATCAACAAATAATGGGGAAGAGAACCTCTCCACTCCCCTTGGCTTAAGAGCAGAGACACAAACTAAACAGCCGAAAAACGTTTAGTGATGATATCTTTCCCTGCTCGCTCCTTGGAGAACAATCTACTCAGTTGTTCAGAGAATAAACTCTGTACCAGGCACGGTTTAGCATGTAGAGATTCAGTGGTGCACAGACAGATGCTTGCCTGCGTAGAGGTGATGGTCTCCAGCCGACTGGAGGTTCCAACATTTTCAAGATATCTGTGCTTTACGTGGCCTTAGTTTTAACCATTTTAATGGTTATGACAAGTACCACAGTTGGAGTAGTAAGGACTTGAGGACTTGTGTACACTGAAGTGTGTTCTGCTCCACTGAGACCCCACTCATGGATACAAAGATCCCGGCATGTGGTGGTGGCCTGTGTTCTTCTGTCCATCTGTAACACTCCCTGGCACTAACCCCACAGTGACTTTTCTCCTGCATTTCCTTCCAGTCTCCTCTGAGCCCACAGGTGGGTTCTTGTGGCTTGTTAATGAGGCTAAAGCTTTTAAAAATTGTGCTTTCACTGTGGTATTAGGATATGTAGGCATGATTGGAATTGTTTGGTGGAGAAAATGATTGGCTTTTTAAAAATCACTCACCCAGATGTTCATCTTGCTCCCTTTGCGAGGTCCTTTGAGACCTTGGCAAGGCTGTCGCATAGCCACATGCTGTTAGAGGCTCCTCAATTGGAGCCAAAACTCCATGAGGAAGGAGTAAGCAGAAAGGAGATCAAGAGTGAGGCAGCACCCAGCTGACAGAGTGACAATGTGCTGTTGTCTTTTCCAGGTTCAGAAGCATTGCCAAGTCTTACTTCCGAAAAGCAGGTGGCATTTTACTGCTGTATGATGTTACGTGCGAGAAAAGCTTTCTTAACGTACGAGAATGGGTAGATATGATTGAGGTAAGGAAATGAAATAAAGAACCAGAAAATTACCTGCGGGGGGGGGGTTAGTCACACACTGTCTGGGAAAATGCTATTTGTTGCTCTCTGTTGGCTTGAACTTGATGAGAAGTCAGTGACGCGCCCTTGGCAGACTTGCTCTCTTCCTTGTAGAGCTACAGCAATTCCCATAAAGCCAAGGTCATGATGAGGGTAGCTTTGGGGAATGAAACTTTTGATTTCTCCTAGATAAAATCAGAACCTCAGTAATGAAATGAAAACGCAAGAAATCTAAGAGGCAGCAGCCTTGAACGAGGAGGTGAGCTGGCTGGGGTGTGGGGTGGTCAGATGTGCTTCTGCGAGTGAGTGACGAAGGTGGAGCATCACACGGATTCGAACATGTGTCCAGGGCTGAATGCTGCACAGCTCTGTTTCCAACCATCTTCCGCTCATGCTACAGGATCTTTACATGCCAGCAGATCCCTCTGAAGTACCAGTTGGTGTTTTTAACATGTGTGGTAATATCTGTGGTTAAGCCAAACAGTATCTTTGTCCAAGATACTTTCATATCATTTGGTTTCATGGTAAACAATTTTAAAAGGAAAGGAGATAACTACATTTAATGTGCTGCTAACACTTATTAATCAGTATAATCAATACAGAAGTGTAGTTTAAGCCATGATGCAGTAAACCATTTTGAAGAGTAAACTAGTAGCTAATAGGCCTGAAAGTTAGATATATTTTTGATAATATTAAGCAAACATGAAATTGCTGTAATGGTTAAACAAGTGATTCCTCACTCATTTCACATTAGCCTCTGAAATTAATGTTCTCTTTCGGACTAATGTAATAAGGGAAATAACTGATTGCCATTGGCAGTAAAATTTCAATGATGATAAGTACGTCCCTTATTCTACCAAAATATGACAAAAATCTCTATAAATGCAATGCAAATGCATCACATTTTTACTTCAAAAAGTATTTATGTTAATTTATCTCTGTAACATCTAAGAAAGAAAGTCCAAAACATATTTTTACTTAAAAAGAGAAATCCAAAGCACAGGAGGATTAAGCACTTGCCTATAGTACGTATTTAGGAGTTAGGGGTAGAATGAGAGATTGAATTGGACCTCTTGACTCAGCACTGCTTGCTACTTGTAACACAGCTCCTAAGTGAGCAACTGGTTAATGGAGAAGGCCTTTGATGAAAGACATGGGTTCCAGGGCACTGTTCCTACATAGAGGTGAGACATCTATTCAGAAGAGCAAACAGAACTCAGAAAAACTTTACTGTTGAACTTTTATCCTTAGTCTTCCTTTTAAATCTTGAGATTATCCTCAAAAAATGCAATGTCAGCCACCGTAAAATAGCACTAACATCAAGTGGCCCACGTCCATTTATTGCTAAACAACTGCACATGACACAACCCTTTCAGCCTTGGCCTCCATTTTTTTTTCACAGGGTCTGGAAGAATAAAACTGTTCCAGGTGAATTACTAAATTGTTATAAGAACGAAATAGATACCATAGGGAACAGACTTTCGCCTAGAAATAGAACATGTGCAGTGACATTTTTCTGTGGCTCTTTCTAATTTGAGACAATCCTACAGGGATCATTTTCATTGCCACCATAAATTGGGTTCAAGAGAATGGTCCTGTTACTGAATGGGCCAAAGGATTGAGAAACAGTGAATAAATCTTCTGAATTGATAGTTGGTTTACTTTGAAAACCACAAGGTTATAAAATCTCTAATAAAATTGTGGATAAAATCAAATTATGGCCATTTACTTACCTAGCTTGAGTAATTTGTTGACTGAATATTTAAGTAAATGCTGAACAGAGAAGCTTGAGGTTTCTGACTTTTACACATTCAAATATATCTATGCATATCTTAAATTCTAGCACTTAGACTGAGGCACAAAGATTGCAAGTCCAGGTTCCAAGTGGACAAGCTACGGAGACCTTGTCTCAAAAAATAATAAAGACAAGGCCAGGGGATGTAGCTTAGAAGTTTACTGCTCCAGAGTTTGATCCCCAACCCTTAAAAATTTAAAAAAGATACTTTGAGTTTCTGCTGCAAGCACATACTCTTGTGGGTTTTGGGGATTTATTTATCACTAAAACAAAGTGCTTTTTTCTTCTGGAGCTTGTATTCTAATAGGGAAGACGCAAGAGCAGACAAAGAAAGAATAAATGTTACAGAAGCAAAAGGAAAACAGGTGCAGGCCACTGTAAAAGGAACTGGACGGCAGTTTTCATTAGTGTGGTTGGGCAATGCACCAAGAAGGCCTTGTTCAAGGCCAAGACTCGACGGTAGTGTCAGGCTTCACCTGTCTGACACTGGAAACCATTTAGATGCTCAGCTTCTAGCACACATATATATTTGATCAGGGACTTCCCAGGGAACCCTGAGGAGATCACCTAAGAGCGCAATTCCTGAGCACAGAAATGGGTGGACTAGACGTTTTTGGGAGGGCTTTGCACCCTTCTCCCTTTTGCTTTCGCTGCTTTCTGAGTCCTTCAGTAAATAAGCATTGTCTGAAGAGAAAAGAAGTCAAATATAATTTCATTTTAAGGCTCATGCCATGATCTTGGGTATATCATCAAACTGAATGAGCACCCAGATATTTCTAGACAAAAAGTATGTTCCATGTGTGGATCTCAGGGATGCTGCTTTCTTGATTAGGAAGGCGAAACTTGTTTTTCTTTGCTGGTCTTCCTTATCCTCCTCGTTGCCTGCCTGGCAAGGTGGAATATGCCTTTATTAACCCCATTCATTTCATGGATGAGGAAATTGAGGCTGAAACGTAAAGAGACCGATCTTATACTTCCAGTGAGTGCCAGCTGGTAGGAGCGGTGGGGTCTCAGCCTTAGTACTGAAATTGCACCTTAAATGCTGCTAGCCCTGCCCACTGTGGCTGCTGGGATAGCACGGCATTTTGCATATGCTGATCTTGGAAAATTAGCTTTAGAACCTATTGCTTTGAATGGTTAGGAGTTGATTTTCTTACGAGAAAACTGTTGACCCATACAACTTTCAGAGTTTGTTTTTGCTGTAAACAAGAGAGTAGTAAATGTGGAACTTTTGAACTCCAGTCTCATCCTGTGATAGCTGAAGAATTGCTTGGGTTTTGCACCTGTGAATGAAGTTGGCTTGTAATCAGCATTGTTTGAAGTGAGAGTTGTAGAAAATTATGTGGCCACTCCAGCCAAATATGCTCTTGTGGTTATGCCTTTTAAATTTATATTGGTTTGTACTGCTGTGTGTGCTAGCGACAAGAAACTAGTAGAAGCATATTTCCTTTGCTGTGAAGACATTTAATTTCAGTTCCCTTTACCCTTTTCATTAACCTGAGGATGGAACATTTTATAATAGGGGTTATGGAGTCAGTGGACCCAGGACCTGATTATTATGTGATCTTATTTAACTTCTCTGAATGTCAATTTCCTCACATGTGAATAGGGGAAAAATATGGCTGCTTTTGGAAATATTTTCAGGTTTAAAGATAATATCCGAAATATAATATGAATTATGTGTAATATTATGATTGGCCGTAAGACGTGGTCAGTGGCAACGTGTACTCAGTTTGTGCTGCTGAAATATGACTTACATTGATTATGAATGCAGTAAGAGTATGTTTACATTTACACACTTTCACTCGCCAAACTTTGAATACATCATTTGACACAGGAGGGCAACTGGACTGGTAGCTGCTGCTGCTATACCATCATCACCGTTGTCGTAATTTGTCCCATGTTTGATCCAGGTCTGATTTCTTTCTTCATGATAGGATTCATCTCCCGAGACTGTTCCTATCATGTTAGTTGGAAACAAGTCTGATCTTCGTGACACTGCTGCCGCAGAGGGACAGAAATGTGTGCCAGGATATTTTGGAGAAAAACTGGCCATGGTAAGAGGGAGAGGGGGTTTGAGTTGGAAGAGAACATAGGAACTTAGCAGCTTTGGAATCACTGGCCTTCTCTTTTGTGTTCAGATTTAGAGGCTCTGCCACCCAGCTCACCATGTTTCATGGGACAGCATCCTCCTTACCCTGTAGAACTTGCAGTGCCCTACCTGCGCAACATAAGCCAGGAGTAAACACATCTGGGAGGGAAAGCAGTCACATCATCACTGAGTATCAATGGCAGAGATGAGCTGCAATTTGCCCTGCCCTCTTGCTGTGTTCCTGGAATCCTTTTCTAGCCCTGCACCTAGATAAACGTTCTATTTTCAAAAGACGTGTTTTTTCCAGAAAGGTTCTATGCCGAGGGGCAGGAGATAGAAGAGTGCCTCACTTAGAGAAGTGGAAGCCTTCTTTTTAAACATTTTTTAAAAGATTTGTGCTTAGTTGGAATAGTCTAAAAGTATTTTTGGTTATGCATTTGTACAAGGGTTTAAGTCTATTCTTGTGCAGTTTGTTACCATGGATGGATACTTTTCTCCTATCATCACTGTGTTAGAAGGCTGTGTGTCCCTCTAATGACTTATCGTACCCCTACAAGGAATTCAGATGTGTTCGCTCTAATACATGGATTTGATGTTGATATGTTGTCTGGTATCATCAGTACCAGGAAAGGACTCAGCAGCAAATGTGTGAGAGCTTTAAAATGAAATTTCATTTTACCATGTTAAGTTGGAAAATTTTGTTTTAAATTTAAGAACTGCAAAACAAATGTGAAAAACATTGAAACTGTGAAATGCAGGGGAGACGCATTTAACATATGCTTTATTGTACCCACCATGTGCCAAACACTTGATTCAATGCCGAGCAAAGGCCAGAGAAAAAGTGGAGAGCCCTTACCTGCATAGTTGTGTCTGAGGAGACTCATACTTACTCAGGGAGTCCATGAAACGGACTTTCTTCCTCATGAGCCCTTCCAGAGCTAGCAGTTCTTGGCCACCTGCCAGTTTTATTGCTTCTCAGAGTCTGCAAGATTTGCTTTCTAATGTAGCTCCTGTTTTTCAACCTCCTGTATCCTAGCTAAATTTCCCAGATCAGCATATGCAAAATGCCACGCTGTGCCAGCATTCGCAGTGGGCAGTAGCACTTAAGGTGTGATTTCAGGACTAAGGCTGGGATCCCACTGCTGCTCCCCATGGCACTCACTGTACCCTAGAGGCAGTCTCTGTTCATCCCGTAATGTTCTGGGTATAAAAGCAGCACTCACTAGAAATACACTCACTTTGCGATGCATATAGGTGTTCTATGGATTTGGCAGCTGTTAGGTCAAGGCTGCATAGTGGAGTCTTTTCCCATTTTCCCTGCTCTTCTTGCTCCCTGCTCCAGAGCAATCATTAAATCTCCCCCTTGTCCCTCAGAGGAATACTTCAGCCCACATCCAGGCCCATAATACATCCGATTCTGTTTTATTGAGAGAAGGTGTCTTCAACTTGTTAGACAAAGACACACAAAACTCCAGCAATTACAATGGTGACAGGTATTATAAACAAAAATACAGAGCCCCAGAGAGTTTTAAGACCAGATATATAGACTTTTCAGGATTTGAAATGACTTAATTTCAAGGAAAGGTTACATTAAAATCAAACATTAAGTAAGAGATTGTTGGTGGGATTGGTGGAAGTAGAGGGTGACTCAGGTCATCAGGAGCAGGCGCACAACTCGTAAGATCAGTGGGAATTTGGGTCCTTGGAAAAATTCAGGGAAGACCAGGATAACTAAAGCTTTGCGAGAGAGGGGATATGGTAGAAGATAAAGCTGGAATACTAGCCAAAGCCCCATCGAGCAAGGCTCATTTTCCATGGAAAAAGTCTTTGAATATTTCTCTTCAAAGAAGAGAGAAGGGCTCTGAACAGCCTGTAGCAGAAGCGTGTGATTATTGATCATATATACAGGTTACTTGATTGCTGGGGGGTCGAGTGACACAGGACTAGAAAATGTGTCTTGGTTTTAGCTGCCGGTTCCTAAAAGGAAAGATGATTGTGTGCTGGAGAATGGACCTTCACCGCTGGCCAACAGCAGACTTGTAGACAGTCCATCCCAAACTATTGTTTTTATCACTCTTAAATTAGTTGATACAGGACAGTTGGAAGCATGTAGATGCTTATTGGCAGCAAAATCTTAAAACAGGAGTTTGTACTTCTGTAACACAAAATAAAAATCCACTGACTAGGAACTGTTATTCCTAGATTAACTATGTTCAAGTTAAGTATTGAAGCTCTAAATTTGACTTTTTAGCTATTTACTCTTTTTCCATGTTTTAATTTATTGATTTTAATAATTAAAATTATAAGGAACCCAATTAAAGCCTTCATTGAATTGTGTATACTCTTTTTCTGCAGACATATGGGGCATTATTCTGTGAAACCAGTGCCAAAGACGGTTCCAATATCGTGGAAGCTGTCCTCCATCTTGCTCGGTAAGGTTTTACCTTGTATGTAGAAAACTAGATTTAGGGTTGAATTTTCATTTAGCGAATGCATATGTCAAATATCTTGACCATAACACGCAGCGAGAATGTACATTGGAAAACATTGTCTTGTCTTTCAGTCATGGAGAAACAAATACACAGGGATACTAGATAATCTGGTAATTCTGCTTGTTCACTGTGAAAACTGGCAGAATATCTTTATTGCCAAACAAAATGTGGATCTGAGGTGCTGACATTTCTGTAAAATGTCACCATGAAGCTAATAGATGATTTATATGAGTCATCACCAGGAACCAGATTTTGAAACAGTCGTATGACAAATACAACTATCTGTTATGACATTTTTCCCACGGAAAGGGAGAGAAAACCCTAGCAAAGCAAATTGTATATCATCCCAGTTGGAATCACTTTATCAGAATTATTTCTGTGTAGTGTTAAGCTAAGGTGGTGGTGTTAACATTTTTGGGATATAGGGTTAGAATGAGGATTGCATCACTAACGAACTTAGATTTAAATGTTTATATTTTTATTCTTGGAGTGCTCTTAGGACATGACATTACCTGCCAGACTTATTTCCTCTGCTTGGTTTTTCTTTTTTCTTTCTTTCTTTCTTTCTTTTTTTTTTTTTTTTTTTTTTTTTTTTTTCTGGGGGTCTAAGCAGATCCAAAAGGGAAGTGTGTCTATCTTCTATCTGTACTGGGGATCGAATTTGTGATCTTGAGCTTGCAAGGCAGGCAGTAGCGCCACTGAGCTAAATCCTCAGCCTTCTGTTTGTTTTTCCTGCCATAAATGATTCTTTACTGGCCTAAAAGGATTATGTAGCATTCCCCAAAGAAAAATTAAATAAATGAAATGAAGGATAATATCTAGTTAAAGAAAAAACAAATGCATGATTTTAGGCATAATTCTTTTTCTGACTGAGATTTTATAAGAACCTGACATTGAGAATTAAGAACCAAACATTGAGAGTTAAAATACTTGGCAATATTTTTACTGATAAAAGCTTTTCAATTAATAACTTGGTGTCACAGAAGCTAATAGACGAGACTTCTGTTAGTGTATGCTTGTGCTACAGCCTTGGGCTAGGTGGCTTCTGTCACATGACAGAATGAGGATACAGTTCCCTGGGCTCACACGTAACATCCTTAAATAGTTTCACCTGCACCAATACAAACGGAAACTTCGCTTTACAATGCTGAAAGTCATCTTTGTTTAAAACAAGCAACACTTCTGCCTTCTAGTGTAACCTATAGTAGGCAAAAAAAAAAAGGGGGGCAAATATTTAAACTGGTGTAGATTCAGCTAAATCATTACACAATTTTGGGGGGTTGGGGGCTGTGATTATAGTAGCATCATATACTGATACCACATTTGTCAAAAAGCCAGGGTAGTTGGATGTGGTGGTACACGCCTGTGATCTGACCACTCTAGGAACCTGAGGCAGGAGGACCATAAACCCAGCCTCAGCAACTCGGTGACTTAGCAAGTCTCTAAAATAAAACAAAATGAAATAAAATGACTGAGTATGTGGCTCAGTGCTAGGATTCAGTTCCCAATATTGCAATAATAAATACATAATTGATTTTTTTTGTTTGTTTTTTGAGACAGGGTCTCACTATGTAGTTGAGACTGACCTGAAACTCACTATGTAGCCCAGGATGGTCTCAAACTCACAGCGATCCTCCTGCCTCAGCCTCCCAAGTGCTGCGATTACAGGCGTGTGCCACCACACCCGGCTTAATAATTAATTTTTTAAAGAGAGTCAGAGGAAAGCCTTTATATACTAGGTCAATCATGGGTCCCATGACCTCTGGGCACACCAGCTCTTTTGATCAAATAAACTGTACATAGAAGGAGGAAAATTTGGCGAGGCAGTGTTTGCCTTTATTGAAGATAGAATAATTTTTACACTGCTCGGTGCTTTCAATCTTCACATGGTTGTGTTGGTGCTGTTATGAATGTGGAGGTAAGAATTCCTGAATGGAGATGAGGTGGCTGCTGGGTACACAGGGTAGGAAGAGCTCATGAGTTGATGCCCAGCAGGAGTAGGCACGAGCCTTTGCCCTGGTCCGTGAAGTGCCCCGTTGCTGTCTCCACACAGCAGAAAAGGATGTGGCTACAGGCCTCTGGCAGGCTGAGCAGCCTTTATCTGACAGTCCAAACTGCTCCGTAGTCTCAGACTTCCTTTGGCACAGATACTGGTTGTTGAAAAGTTTTGAAAATTTGCGCTATTCCTGAGTTCGACTTTTGGGTTAGGGATAGTCTGGTGCTCAGTTCCCAAATCCACAAAACTTCAACTTGTGAAACGTTTGTGGTCTCAAGCATTTCGAAGGAGAGATACTTGTGCTACGCATAGTTACTGACTATTGCTGGGCATGCTGCAGCACTACAGTAAGAGGACACTTGAAGTCCACTCTTTACTCCTAAATAGCTGTGGAGCCTTCAGCAAACCCCTGCCTCACTTAAGGGATCTCTAATTCGTAAAATGAAAACGAGGGATGAGTAAAGTGATCTCAGAGTTCCTTTCCAGTAACAGTAGTAGTGTATGATTCTCCGTAGAATAGCTTGTACTTCACCGAATAATCATGTTTAGTACTCCACGGTCTTATTAAAGTTCAGTGGATACAAAGTGCCCTGTTTGCACCCTCAGTGTGGAATCCATTCTCTACCATATCTTGAAGGCAGGAGTGGCTGTGAGCTCCCTTCTTCCTCCTTTCTGTCTGTTCCTTTATGGCCCATTGGGTCACCCAGGCACGGAGAAGCTTAGATACCAGCTCGTGTTGATTTACTTAAAACACCTGGCATGCAAAGGCATTTTGATAATAAGGTCACTTCCACTGGGCAGTGCTCAGGTCATAGTTACTTTTTAAGCTTTAGACAGTTGGATTGACAAGTTTCTTGTGGAGGTTTTCTTTGTATTGCTACTGCACTATGGCCTAATTTGGAACTCCAGTTATGTTACTGATGTGTTGAATATTAAAATTATAAATAAAGCAAATATGTGAAAGCTTTGCTTTATTCTCTGCCTTCAGATTACTTTTTCAAAGTACTGAAGTCTTAAATGAAAAAGTTATATTCTCCACAGGTAGAATAATAATTTTTAAAAAGTTTTACAGCCTTTAGAAAATTGCACATTATGTAAAACACTTAAGTCCTTGACTTACATCTCATGGACTGATCTCAGTATGGTCCCTTCCATTCCACGTAATGTCATAAAACATGAACTAGAAGACTGTATGCCTTTGTGCTGTCTGAAATGGAATTTGACTTTGAAGGGAGGTCATAATGTGTTTGGTTAACAGCTTGAACCACTTTGCTTTTTCCTGGAAAACCTCTCAATCCCAAGTAAACTTTCTTCTAGAAGTGCCATTTTCATGAAGTGCAGTGATGCCATTTTTCCAACCATTGCTCCTGTTGATTAGTAAATTTGCTGTCACAAGAACTACAGGCGTTAACATTTTGCAGCAGTTTCAAGTTCAGAAGGGATTTAATTGATCAACAGCGTGAATCTGGAGAAAAACACAAAAAGCTCAGGCTGATGGATCATTTGAATGAAAGAGCTGTGCAGTCATTTAAAGCATAATTGTTTTATTTTTTTCTACATGATATACATGATATTTTTAACAGTGCAGTTGAGCACTTGTTCATTTTTAGTGAGGCCACTTAATGTCCCCAGTGTTAAGCCTCGTTTAGATTTTTGGAATGGTATCTTTCTGATTTTTTTCAGCCGGGGCATGCCTGCATTTATGGTAGATTAAAGAACCTGAAGGCCAGAGGAAAGATGTGGATTTCCTCATTAATATTTGCTCTCAGTTTCAATAACGTGTTCATTGTTATGAAAAACTTAGCTTGTGCTTAGCTCTATGAGTTCAATAGGAAATCAAAGGGATAAAAGGTAAGCTTTGCAGTTTAACATTACAGGGAAAAAATGAGAGTATACAAGCTGGACAGCCCTTTGGTATGTAGCTCATAGGGGACATTGGACCTTCCAGAAGGGAGAGTTGTGAATTACCTTGTGAGGGTGTTGTGATTATCACACCCACTTGACAGCTGAGGAGCTTTATCAGTGACACAGCTGGGCGGAATCAGGACTCACTACTAACCCGAGTCACTAACTTGCCACACAGATGTTGGCCCTCTCAGGATTCCGTTTTGCATGTGCTCGCCTCCCCCTGCTGGGGGCCTTCCATCCCTATGGTTTCTGAAATCACCTCTAGCTGGTGATGTCCTGCTTCGGTATTTGGAACTACCATTTCCTCAACAAATGCCACAGGCATAGTCTGAGTCACCAACTGGAAGATGTGCCGGTAGAATGGCTCAATATACCCCACTTCTGATGTGTTTGTCTTTATCGTTCCTGGTTCTTCATTGCTTTTTTCAGGAATCTAGAAAAATCAGAACTAAAACCTAGCCACCCGGACTCAATCTTGACATCTTTCGCTGTCCTGCTCTTCACTTCCCTTCAGTGGGTTTGAGCCCTGCCCGTTCAGTGATGATTGTGAACTTGTGTTGGTCCCTGCAGCTCTCTCTCCCTCTTTGACTCAGCCGTCACATGTCCTACCTTGGTTAGTACCTAAGTTTCTGCCACAGATCTCCAGTATTAGATCATCCTTTACCCTGCAATCTGTGGAATTCGGTCAATATTTACTTTCTTGCCTTCAGCCCCACATCAGTGTCCTATTTATGGTAGAAAGTGCAGGCTTCTGAGCATGTGGCTGATGTTCCTGCCTGGCCTGCCCACAGCCCTTAACTCAGGATGAGCGATAGTCTGTAGACGTAGCCACCTCTGTGTCTAGTCATGGCCGTGCTCTTTTGTGCCTCAGCCTCTGCCACATTGTTCCTTGCACCTGGATTCTCTTCCCGAGATTCCTCTAAATAATTAATGTTTCAGTCTCCACAAAGATCTGCAAATCCTGCATCACATAGTATGCGTATAAGATGCTCTCTGGGAATTTTTCAGGAGCAGTTTAGACATCTGCCTCTGCCTCATGGCTCTCTATCTAAGGACCCCTCACCTTGGCACAGACTGGGCATTTGTTAAATGTCAAAACGACCACGATGGAATTTTCTGTTCTCCATAACAAATTCCCACCCGGGGGAATGTTCCACACAGTGGCTTAAACAGTGCATATTCATCTGACCATTCTAGCGTCAGAGGTTTGAACTGACTTTTTTCAGGATGTCATAAGTTGGTTCTGTTTCTTTTCCTTAGACTTTGTTCCTTGTCTGTGAGTGAGGTGATACTGCTCACCTGTCAGGTGTGGGTGGGGTGTGTGTGTGTGTGTGTGTGTGTGTGTGTGTGTGCGTGCTGTTAAGGAAAATGTGAAAACATCATAGGATTTACTAGTGGCTATAGGGAGAGTTAGTTTCTCTTTACTTATTTGTTTTCCTGCTAAGGTACCTTTATTCTGACTCACTATATAGAATTTTCCAAAGTGAGGACTCATCAAAATAGTCTGAAGCTACGCTAGCCCTAGTAGCCACTAGATGCTTGAAATAAGATATTAATTATACACTGGGTTTTGAAGACAGTATACAAATTATAAGATATCTCATTAATGATATTATTGATGAACACATTCCTGCCAGCTGGAACCACCTGGTGGAGACAGGCATAACTGTGCCGTGAGGCCTTTACCACCTGGTGGGACTGCCCCACGCTGTGTGACATAGACGTGTGTGTACCACTGTTTGTTCAGAGCTGCCCAGCATCAAGGCATACAAATTATGGCCCTGTCATTAATGTGTTAATGCAGAAACGGTGATATTTTTCTATGCTCTGTTAAATATATTAATAACAGTGATTTCACATTGTTTTACATTTTTTTAGTGTAGCAATTGAAAAGTTTGAAATGGGGAATGGATCATACTATTTCTGTGGAACACAGTATTTTGACGTTTCAGTTAACAGCTAGCTCCTTAATAAGCACTCTAAGATTTAATTGCTAAAGCAGTCATTTTTAGTTTCTCACCATTAACTAGCATTGGCTGGATCTCTTGTCTACAGTTTGGGGGGACCTTCAGGCATCTGTAGTCACATAGCTCCTAGGAGCTGTGGTTCAGCTGACCTTTCCTCCCGTGGCTTATCTTGTGTGGCATCTCATCCCCCATGGCACTCTGGTGGTTTTTGTCCATCGAAAGACCCTGAACTTCTGAAATGGCAGCTCAAAGCACCAAGTGGGAGGAGGCTGAAGTGTCTGGCGTTATTAACTCCTGGGCTTGGATGTTCTCATCGGAGCCTGTCTTGACCCAGGGGAGGACAAAGGTGCCTCGGTGATGGGGGAGCACCAGGCGCAACATGGGAAGGCAGAGTTATTGGAGCTGCCTTGGCGAAGCACTGCTATGCTCACCCTCAGAGTCATCTTGTCTAAGGTGGGGCTTCAGACAACCCAGGGCCTACTCTTAGAAGGGTACTTCCTTGGGGGGCTTTTATAAGATATTTTAGAAGACAATATTTTTTTCTGTCATTATTGCCTCTTTAAGTAAACTAGGGAGGAAGCAAAGATAGTCACGCATGAATTTTAACTATCTCTGTGCTGTTATGTATAATTAATTACATATAATTAAAGTAAAACTTTTGTTATGGCTCGTGTCTAGATGTCGCTGTAAAGTCTCATGCAGTCATAGGAAGAGCTCTGAGAGGGGCTGGATCTAGAGAGTGTGGTGCTGGGATCAATAGTGAGTGATACTAAATCAGTCCATGACTGGTTTGGCATAGTTCTGGCTAGGATTAAGGGTGTGAGTGCTGCACCTGCCCCTGCGCAAAATAAAGAAAAGGGCTAATGTGCTCTCACCTACCTGCTTGCTGCAGACTATTTTCCTCTGTGATGCCCCTCTGCCTTGCCACCCTGCCTTGAAGCCAGCCGACTATGGATTGAAACATGTACACACTGATAGCCAGATAAACCTTTTCTTCTTTAACATTGAGTGTTGGGTATTTTGTCTCAGGAAAAAAAAAAAAAATAGCTAAGAGAAATTCCTTGGTTTGTTCAGGGCCCTAGGCATAGGCATAGTTCGCTAGGATTAAGGGTGTGAGTGCTGCACCTGCCCCTGCGCAAAATAAAGAAAAGGGCTAATGTGCTCTCACCTACCTGCTTGCTGCAGACTATTTTCCTCTGTGATGCCCCTCTGCCTTGCCACCCTGCCTTGAAGCCAGCCGACTATGGATTGAAACATGTACACACTGATAGCCAGATAAACCTTTTCTTCTTTAACATTGAGTGTTGGGTATTTTGTCTCAGGAAAAAAAAAAAAAATAGCTAAGAGAAATTCCTTGGTTTGTTCAGGGCCCTAGGCATTCTTGTGGGGATGGAGCCAGGATCCAGAGTTCTGGGGAATTAATTGTGCAGGTGTGAGAGAGATAGGATCCTGAAACCTCAGGGAAGAGGGAAGGTTTTGTGTGTGTGTGTGTGTGTGTGTGTGAATGAGAGGGAGAGAGAGCCAGTCTGTGTTCAGAATATAGACACTAGAGCCAGCTTAGAAGATCTGAGTCCCATGTCTTCATTTGTGTGACCTAAGAAAAAATTCTTGACCTCTTTTGGCTGTATTTCCTCACATTTAAAATGGGGCACAACAAACTCAATAGGTTTCTTGGGAAGATGAAGTACTTTTCTACCCACAGAGAATTCAGAACAATGTAAAAATGGCCCGTGCAGTTGCTCAGCATTGCTTCTGGTCCTTAGTTTTGTACCTCAGTAATCCTCTCCTCTCTCCCCCATCCCCCCAGGGAAGTGAAGAAAAGAACGGAGGAGGCCGATAGCAAGTCCATCACCAGTCTGGCTGGGACCGGTTCCAAAAAATCAACACAGATGAAGAACTGTTGCAATGCCTAACTGCCAAAAACGTCCTCAGCTGTGACATCTTTCATTTCCAGGATACTGAATTTTGTGACTTGCTTGGTTCTTAATAGAGTGGCTCATCCTACAGACACTGTCCTGTGGAGAATTTGCAGAGTGGTCTCACTGTAGTCTCAGGTCCCTCAGAAGCTCAGCTCTTCTTTGCTGTGATCTCTGAGTGCTTTGGGCCCTTTGAAGACACCATGGAAATGTTTGTAATGTGGAAAATTCATATGCTCATTTCAAGCTGAAGCCAAATTATATCAACATAATTAGACCCACGAGGTAGATGATGTAGTTAACAATGTTTCCCTAAAATGGTTGATACTAGTAGAAGAGAGTTCTCATTCTAACTTCACTGTTAGCTAATTTAGTGGTCCTGGACATGTCACCAGCCCATGTGATGTATGTTTTTTCTCTAAAACAGGCAGCTTGGCCTCAAAGGCATTGTAGGGCTCTGCACTGTTCAGAATCTATAGCACTTTAATCAGCAGTGAGTGAAGCACAATGACCTACAATTAAAAAGGGTCTAGGTTGTTCCTACATTAAAAAAAAAAATACTGCAGTATTGATTTTTTTCACTTTTGAAATGAGAACAAAATTCCATTGAAGAAAAAAATGGTAGTTTAGGCACCAATGGTAACAGAAAAATCTATGCTTATGTGTGGAAAACAAGTTTGAAAAAACGTTGTATATAAAAGGGGACATTTTATAATCTCAGAAACTTACAAAGTCCCTATCTTTGTGTGAAAATTCTAACAAAAATATATAGTATATGTACTACTGAATGCAATAATCCAGAACAATGTCCCTTTTCACTTACAAATACCTACCATCCAGTGGTTGTCAGAGGCTGAAGAAAGAGGGCAACTGAAATTACTGTGGATGGGTGTGTGGGCTTTGGAGGATAATGAGAATGTTTTGGAATTACGGTAGTGTCAAGACTGTAGGACTCTTCAAATATGTGAAGAACCACTGAATTGCCTGACTTCCCCATTGAGATGTGTGTACAAGCCGGAGGAGCCAGTACTTGACCCAAAGATGGCCAAAAGTGCCTAGCTTTTAGTAACCTGAATGGATTAAGTTGTTCCCAGCAACAGATTTCCAGGCCCAGGTTCCAACTACCTTGCTGAAAAAAACTTAATAGCTATTATTTATTGGGTTAGACTAGTTAAAAGCATTTCTTTTTATTGAAAATTAGAGCCATTCTATATAGCAATCATTTCCTCTTTGTTATTTTCATGGTCAAACTTTAAATTCCTCAAGCTTTATTTTTTAAAAATGGAGAATGTCACGATCAAGAGCCACGTTATTTAGCTTTTCAAAGCATGTTTTCTTTCCTATCGAAGACATTTAATATTTTAACTGGAAAATTGAATCCTCAGTAACTCTACCATGAATTCTAGTTTTGTATTTTAAATTTTTCGTTCCCTGAAAAAAAAATTACATTTCAAGCCAAAAAGCATGCTTTGCTTGTGGGAAATAGTGAAAATGCATGTGGGGCGGCAGTAGTTATTCTCTTTGTGACTTGCATTTGTTATTTGCCTCAGTGGTGCATCTTGAGTCCAGGTGACACTGGACCTAACATATGTATGTAGGTTGATAAATGGAACAAACATTCGGGTTCTGGTGCACAAAACTGGGTTAGTGTACATGTTATTGTGTTACTTTTATTTATTTCTTCGAAGTGTCTCATTATAGTCATCTCACAACCTGTAAATAAGCATGCTTTTTTCTTTTTTGGTTTTTTGAGACAGGGTCTCACTATGTAGTTCAGACTGGACTGAAACTCACTTGTAGCCCAAGTTGGTCTCAAACTCACAGCAATCCTCCTTCCTCAGCCTCCTGCGTGCTGGGATTACAGGCGTGTGCCACCACGCCCAGCAAATAAGAGTGCTTTTAATGCCAAAGTATTAGCTTGCTCCTTTCTTCTGGATTTTCAACACAATTGACTAGGAGATTACCTATGTGTGTTTGATAAACTAAACATTTTTAACTAAGTATGGATAAATACTCTGCCAAATTAGAGAGGTATATCTCTGGAGAGCAATATTGTATAAAGAAAAGCTACTTAAAACTCCTTTAGCTGTCATGCTGGGAGATTGTGATTATTTATCCATAATTTGATTTTATGAAGGTGGTGTCAAATTTAGGAAGTATTTTCAGTAAAGACAAAAATATTTAATGTTTTTAACTTAGACTTAATTTGATATATTTCCTTGATTTGATATAATTATATATATTTACATGTTCCCATAGAAGTAACTTACCATGTCTGTTTTTCTCTGAGAACATTCAGAATTACAATTATGTTACACTCCTTTTTTATGTATCCTGATACACTGGATAGTATTTTAATTTGATTATAGAACATAATGTCAGATAAGCAAGCATTTTTTACTGTTAACTTTAAGCCCTGTGTTTTCATAATTTATTTTTTCACTTGCTGCTTTATAATGTATGTGACATTTGATTATTTAATACTAGATGTTATTTGCATAAATCCGAGCCACATAGCCCCCCTGCTGAATATAAAATTGAGGTTAAAGATAAAGATTTATTTTCATATTTGTACACTAGTTGGCTTCATAGTGATGGTTTTTGTGAGATTTTATTGTGTATGTATATGTATAAGAAATTTCATATGTATATATTAAGCAGGCCTCTGAGAATTGAATAATTGTTTTATGATTTTGATTTGTATGGTTTACATTTTCATAGTACGGGCCATGTTTTGTTTATACTTTTTATTTCCCTTCAATCCATTAGTAATTATATCACACAGTGTGATTTTTATAGCAATGCAATTGTCTAAGGAATTAGAAATATTTTATGCTTTTTCAATTCAATAAAACATGTTTCTTTTGGCTTTTTGCTCTTCCCTTCAGCTGTACTGGAGATATTCTTGTGGCAGTGTTCCTAGGATGTGTCTGTGCGAGACTGTTCCTTTAGAACACCTGTCTGTTCTGCCCATATCAAGTTGGCTCATGGGAGAGAATGAATGAATGTGTAGTCTTCAGTTCTGTGGCACTGTGACATCATCGTGGCCCCTGGGCAGCATGTGGTCCAGCATGGAGCTTGACAGCCAAGAGTAGTGGGGCTTTTCAGAAGCATTCCAGGATGTCCCCTGGCCATTTTTACAATCTGAGAGGGTCCAGTCTCTTTCTCTGACTCTCTCTCCTCTCCACTGCTTACCCAGCTCCTCAAGAGAGTTTTCAGAACCACAACTAAATGTGGCTGCCTGATGTCCTGTCTTAATATTTTCATTGCTCATCTACTTGTTAAATCAGGCATATTCTTCTGCCCATACCCACTTCTTTCTACTGTTACCTTCCTCTGTGTGCAGTGTGTAGAACTTGATTGTTGATTAGATGATGTTAATCAGCTTTCCGTTACTGTGACAAAACACCCTAATCAACTTAGGAGAAAGGTTTAATTTGATCCCTAGCTTTTCAGAGATTTCAGCCCATACTCAGTAGACCCTTTCGTTTATAGCCCGCGATTAAGAAGAACATCATGGTAGGACTTCATGGAGGAGAATGCAAAGCTTTGGTCTCAATAGCTTCTTCAAGAGCACATGCCCACATGGTCTGAAGACTTCCAAATATGAAGCCTCTTCCAGTCTGAGGATCAGTCCCTCATGCACGAGCCTTTGAGGGCTATCCAAGATCCAAATGCTAGCAGATGATAAAAGAATTCACAGGGTAAGTAAATCAGGCATTGTCCAGTGTTTCTGCAGACACACATACACAAATTCGAACAGTGCAAATGAGAGCTAGCTTATTTTAATGGCCACAGGATGAGTTCTGCAGCTCTCCTGCTTGGACTTATACCTACTAATAGGGTAACTGAGCAAGGGACCTATCCTTCATGGACCTCATCTTCATTTGCAAAACATGTATGATGATAGCATCTTTCTCACTGAGTTAAAAGGATTAAAAGTATGCAGAGGGCTTGCAATAGGATCTGGCACTTTGATCACTCCCAATTTATGGTTTTGTTATTGTTTTTTCCTTTTGGAAGCACTATTGATTGTGTTGGTCCAGTGCAGGTTCCCAGGTGCTGCCATCAGTGAAAAATAGAACTTCAGAAATTTACCAAATTACAAATGGAGTATTTGTAGGGATGAAAAATTTTGGAGAATTTTCTTTTACCTAAATCATTTGCTTCTCACATACATTCACGGTGTTTAAAAGAACACAAAGGTGGGGTATCACAGGATAGGATATCCAAGAAGATAACTTCACATGATGGGTTCTTTCCACTCTGTTGATCACTCACATTCATCAATGGGAATTTGTACCTGTTTGATTTGCTCTTCTTTTTCTAGAAGCTTGAAGTTCAACATTAGGTTATTTATTTGAGCTAGCTCTGTTTTCCTAATATGAGTATTCACTGCTATAAATTTCCCTCATAAAACTGCTTTCATTCTGTCCCATAAATTTCAGTGTTGCATTGGCATTATCATTTGACTATAGAAACCATTGAATTCTTTAATTTCATTCGTGACCCATTGTTCAGGAGTTATTATTTAATATCCATGTTGCTTTGGTTCGTTTGCCTTTGAGTTCCAATTTTATTGTACTGTGGTATGATAATATGCATGGTGTAATTTCAGTTCCTTTGCATGTGCTATGAGCTGGTATGGGGTCTATTCTGGAGAACTTAACATGTGCAGCTCAGAAGAAAGTATATGCTGATGTAGAACATTCTGTAGATATCTACTAAGTCCAATTTGTTCAAAAGCTTAGTAATATTTCATGGATTTTTCATCTAGTCTGTTTGTGACAGTGGGGTCACATTATAATTGTATTAATATTTATTTGATTTTTCATGTCTGTTAACATTTGTGTCACATAGTTGTATGCACTGGTATTTGGTGCATATATAGTTACGATCACTATTGCTTTCTCTTGGATTGTTCCCTTCTACAAGGATGTTGTGACCTTCCTTGTCTGTCCTTTATAAAGTTGAGTGCACCAGTAATTGGTGCATATATATTTATTATTGTTAACTCCTTTTTAGAGTTTTCCCCTAACAAGTATATAGTGACCTTCTTTGTCTCTTTTTATCAGTCTTGGCTTGAAATCCACTTTGTCTGCAGTTACAATAGCTTCCCCTGCTTTTTTCCAGGTTTCTGTCACATGGAGTATTGTTTTCCATCCTTTGACTTTCAGTCTATGAATTTCTTTTTGAATTAAATGTGTTTATTGTATGCAGCATAGTATTGCATCTAGCTTTTGTTTGTTTGTTTGTTTGTTTTTGGTATCAGGGATCAAATTCAGGAACTCCTGCTTGTGAGGCAGGTATGGTTCCACTGAGCTAAATCCCTGGCTGGATCTTGCTTCTTAATCCATTTTGCCAATCTCTCTTTTTTTTTTTTTTATTGAGTTTATTGGTACGTTTAGGGATACAGTACAGTTACATTCATTGTTGGGATCATGTACCTTTACATGGCAAGTCTTGATTCTCATTTTTTTCCCCTTACCTCTGCCCTCCCTTCACTGCCAATCTCTTTTGATAGGTGAATTGATACCTTTAACACTGATGGTTGTAAATGATATGTATTGATTTATCTTTGTCATTGTATTACTTTACTGTTGTTGCCCTCTCCTGTTGTTTTTGTTTTGTTTTTTTTTCCTTGCCTGGTGGATTCATTCTCTTGGGGTTTGTGGAGTTGTAATCCTTGTTATCTGTTTCTAAAACATAGCCTTCAAAACATTTTGGAGGGCTGATTTGCTGTTCATGAATTTCCTCAGGTGTTCTTTTTCATGGCAGTATCATATTTCTTCATCGACTTTGAATGATAGCTTTGTAAGATACATCAATGTGGATTGGGGTTTTTTTTCTCTCTCTTTTATGGCTTGAAATACTTAACTGATTAGAATAGTTTTGTCATCTTGGCTAACAGTACAGTCACGAACAGCCTAGGAAATGACAAACTGGTCATTATTAATTTGGCACCTTTCATACAGTTGTATGAACTATGTTTGTGGTTATATAACAAAATCTAAGCAGAAAAATGTGTGCAGTAAATAAGCCCTCAGTATAGCGATTTTACCCTTGGGAGAAATTTTCACAGAAGCTTGGTGGGCGGAATAGAGTAATAGAAGAAGATGAAGAGGTTAGAAACAAGGCTAGAGGACAAAGGAAGATTGCACAAACTTACAAATCAGTGAAGAAGACAGGAAGGAAAGAACGAAGAAATAAAAATGAGAGGAATAAAATAGCAAAACAACAAGAATAACAAAAACTGGA